CCCAGTGCCCTAAGACCCGCAGGTGCGGAGGCCCGGGCAAGGAGACCCCTTCTCTGGTGGCCGAGCGCTGGCCCGGTGACTTACTGCGGCTGGGAAGGACCCGCCTGGGGCAGCGCAGGCAACGGCCAGGAGCCCGGGCTTGGGGCTGCGCCCGCCCACCCACTGCCCTTGCTGCCCATTTCCGTCCTCCTCTGCTTTCCTTCTTTCCCCTTTAAAAAAAAAGATTGATTGATTGATGCACACAAGAGCCAGAGCGTAAGCCAGAGAGGCGGGGCTGAGAGGAACCCCCAGAGACAGTGGGGAGCCCACAGGTGGATCCACCGGAGCCCACTGCTGAGCGCAGCAATGGGGAGACGGGGGGTCTGCTGCGCCCGGGGCTGAGACCTACCCCTGTGTCCCAGGGAGGCCCCCTCTCTGGCTCTGATACCCCGTGAGGCGCAACAGGAGGCCCCAGCCTCCACGGGTGCTCAGTGAGGGGCACAGTGACCCCTTAGTCGCCTGGACACCTAGCTGGGCCCCGAGACTAGGGCAGCAGTCGATGAGAACTGGTCAGCCCCCCAACCAGAGTGTCCCCCAATTCCCCCGCAGCGCCCGTGGCTCTGCCCAGAAACCGGGGCTCTCTGCCCAGCCCTTCACACGGGGGCTCCGCAGGCGTACCTCTCTCCAGCCCCCAGGGCTGGGGGGGCTCCTCGCCCTCGCACCTGGATGAGGCCAGGCGTGGGGCCGGCTGCCCACGCGTGGCTGGGGGTGCCACCTGCACAGGGCGGGCTCGTGGGGCGCCCTGCCCTCCAGCCCCTCCCGTCAACTCCAGGAGCGGCGGCCGCCGCTGCCCACAGTGGGGTGGCCGGACATCCGTGCGCAGCACACGAGCAGGGGATGCCAGGGAAGGGGTGGCAGGAAGCCAGCTTGAGAGCAGGGTTAGGGTGGCAGGTGCGGACCCCCCAGGCGGACAAGGCTCGGGCAGCCAGCAGCCATCCCCCGACCCGGGGCCCGCCCCTCCTCCCCACCCTGCCCCAGGCCAGTTTGTCCCAAGGCCCAGGTTCAGGGCTGGCCACAGGACGCGGGGGACCTCTGTCGAGCTGCCCTGGAGAGTGGCTTCGCTGTAGGGGCCTCCCTGCCTCTGACCTGCTGCCGGCAGTCTGAGTGGCGGGCGTGGTGGACGCCCTCGGGAAGCCGTGTCCAGCTGACTCTGCCCTGGAGCAGGTGTGGGGCTCACAGGGCGTCCGCCAGCCACGCTGGTGCCTCTCGCTCGAGGTGGAGGCTGGCCGGGTCCAGGGCCTGCGCCGTGCTGGGGCGGGGCGTGGTCAGAAGCTGAGGGGCAGCCAGGGTCTGGTGGGGGCCGGCATGTGGGCAGGTGCCCACAGACCCTCAGTGCTCTGCGCATGCCAGGGACAGCAGGCCCCTCCTGACCTGGCCAGTGAGGGGCTCGCCCTCAGGCCTGCCCACAGAGCGCCCGCACGCCTGCGCCGCCCGGGCCCCCTGAGGCCAGCGTGCCTCTCGTCCAGGGGCGCAGCTAGCTGCCCCACCCCAACAGGGCCCCTCCCTCGGGGGTCGCTGGAGGCTGGCCCAAGCGGGACTGCAGGGCCGTGAGCCCGCCGCACTGCCCTGCGGCTGACCGGCCTGTGTCCACAGCTGTGGCTCAGCTTCGCCCCCGTGGCCGACGCCGTCGCCCTGCACTTCCAGCTCTCCGCGGAGCAGGTCAACTGGCTGGCGCTGGTCTTCCTCGTGGTATCCATCCCCGCCGGCCTGGTGGCCATCTGGGTGCTGGATACGGTCGGGCTCCGCTGGGCGGTGAGTCGGGCCGGGTCCCCACCGCGGGTGGCGCCCCCAGACTGGGCCGGGGGAGGCCCGGGAGCCGGCGGCGCCCTCACTGTGCCCCCCGCAGACCATCCTGGGCGCGTGGCTGAACGTGGCCGGGAGTGTGCTGCGCGCCCTGCCCTGCCTGCTGGCCCGGACCCCGCGTGCGTTCGCCCTCCTCCTGGGGGGACAGGGCCTCTGCGCCCTGGCCCAGACCCTGGTTGTGTTCTCGCCGGCCAAGCTGGCCGCCCTGTGGTTCCCGGAGCACCAGCGGGCCTCCGCCAACGTGGCCGCCTCCATGGGTGAGTGCGGGCCCCGGGCTCTGCAGGCGGGTCTGCCTGCGGCCCCGACACCTGCCTTTGTGTGTCCACGCAGCCAACCCCCTGGGCATCTTGGTGGCCAACCTGCTGTCGCCCGCCCTGGTCAAGAAGGAGGGGGACGTCCCCCTAATGGTGAGGGGCTGCTGAGGTGTGTGCGTGTGGGGGTGGGGGGTGAGCACATTGGTGGCCGGACGCGGCGCCAGGCCCACCTTGTGCAGGGGGCCCCCAGGATGCACGACCACCGCAGGGTGCCCCCAGCGTCCAGCTCTGCGCGGGGACCGGGTCGGCGGCCTGTTGGGGGGTCGGGAGCTGCGGGTGGCGGGCAGTCCTGGGGCTAAGGGCCGGTCACTGAACACAGGAGGACCTGGCTCGGCGGCTCTGCTGATTGCCAATGTGGGTCTG